TCCCCACAACAACAACTCTGTGAGGTGAGAGAGAGCGACTGCCCCAAAGTCACCCAGCTGGCTTTCATGCCTAAGGTGGGACTAGAATTCAGTCTCCTGGTTTCTAGCCTGGTGCCTTAACCTCTAGACCAAACTGCCTTAACCACTAGACCAAACTAAACAAAATTACAAATATTTGTATTTTTCCATACAAATGTAACTTCACTGTAGGTTTATTAAAATGTACGTGAATACATATACAGGACTTTCTAGCATTCTACATGTTAAATCTGCCACAGAAATTAAATGGAAACTTACATTTTGTTTTCTATTTAATTTGTACTTCAGTTAATATCTGAATACTGTTTTCCACTAAAATGAAAAGATATATAGGTATGAGGCAGATCAGTGGGAATGCTGTGATTGGAGAAGGACTTATAGCAAAATACTGTACAGGGGAGAAGAGGAATTGATTAAAAGAGTATGTAAGTTTAAACAAAACCAACAATGCTAAAGGATAGGTTGCTCATTTGCAAAAAGAAAGAGAACTGTGATATCTTAAATAATAACATACTGTGGCATACTGTTAATAAACTAGAATCCATCTATATCCAAGTATATTTTAAAACTGTAATCTGTAATTCTCATTAACCTCAGAAAAATCTCCATTAAATTAAATTATTATTAGATTCTTACCCCACTTTTACAAATTATTTTTCTTTTATTTATTTAAATCAATCATTTAATAATTAATTAAATAGTTAATAATTAAATTGGTTATTTATTTAATTTATTTCTTTTAATTATAATTACTTCTGCAATAACTTCTGTAATTCTAATTGTGTCCTTCTAGAATTTATTCTGATATGTAACATAATCTTTAAGCAAGATTATTAAGGGTATTTGATAGATTATTTTCTCTTTGTTGGAATTTGGTTAGACAACATCTAGGATACCTCCAGCACTATAATTTTATACACAGAAATTCTAGACTACCAATAATGTAGATTTTATACCTTCAGTCGAGCTTCCACTGAAGCTTTCTTACGGCCTTCTCTCCTGCGATATTGTTCCACTTTATCTAACTGGTCTGGTCTCTGAAGCATCCCAGCTACCCTTTGTACAGCTGTTGCAATTGCTTCCCTGTCAGTCTCCTCCATCTTACAGCAAAGTCTTAAAATGCAGATACATACATATCTTAAAAGTAATGGACAAGAATACTATAATGAAATAAAATACTAGGACCGTGATTTGTTTTCTCAGATATGAGTTATAAACTATTATATTAAAAAAAATTGATAGTATATATGCTAGTGACAATTATAGTAAATAATAAAGTATTTTAGAGGATGCTTTAAGTAATAACACATTATATGCTTGTAATTCAGGGTATAATTGTGAACATTATTTTCTTTTGGTTTTTCTACTCCATTTCAATCTTGACTACAGGTAGTCCTCGCTTACCAACCACTCGTACAGCAACTGTTGGAAGATATGATGGTGCTGATCGAGGAGACTTATGACTGGTCCTTGTACCTGCAGCCATCACAGCATCCCATGGTCACGTGAACACAATTCGGGTGCTTGGCAACTGGTGCGCAACTGCGACAGTCAGAGCATCCCGCCATCATGTGATTGCCATTTGCAACCTTCACTGCCAAGTTCCAACATGCAAAATCAATGAGGAAGCCAGGAGGAAGTCGCAAGTTGTGGTAACATGATGTCACACTTAATGACCTTGCGGGATTTGCTTAATGAGTGCGACTGGAACTGCTGTCGTAAATTGGCGTGGTCACATGATTTTTCGTTTAACAACTGTGTCGCTTAGTGACAGTTATTGGTCCCAATTATGGTAGTTAATTGAGGACTACCTGTATTCAGATTTATAGCCTTCTCACACATATTTTTGGTATTATGTTAGATGAGCCACCTTATCAATTTTACTTTCCCTAAGCCACCACCCCGAAACATCTTAAATTTTGTTGTTACACTCCACAAATTAAACTGAGAATGCCTTCAGATGAAATGGTGCTATGCAAATGCACAAAAAGAACACTAATTATTTGACAGCACCTGTTTACAAAATCTGAAACTGCTCATGCTACTTTGTTGCAGATTCTCCTATGGATATAATTAACTACAAGTCACTTGCACAATTTAGCCTGCGGTACTCCCAACTCCTGGGAAGCAATCCCAAGAGTGGGAAGATGGATATAACATCTTACATAAGGTTCCAGAATTGTTCTGTTTTGTTCCTTTTCTGTATTATACATTTGTTCCTCTTTTGTTCCTTTACTGCATCATCCATTTGCTATATTTCTAGGCATTCTCAAGCAATATAGTCATAAATGTGGTACTATGGCATTTTAAACAGTGGACTTAGCTTGCATGGTACTGACAGAAAAGTATAAGAACAAATATAGACAACTACACAATCCTTGAAAGGCCCAGATGGGAAAAACAGAAGGTAACAGGAGAAAATTACTCCACTAGTTCTTACAACGGCAATCAACATGAAGTCACACTATTTAGACTTCTGACCCAGTTGATATACATACAATATATATAAGTTTTAAAATATATTAACGTGTGAATATATTACTAAATGTGCTTTATTAATAGATCATAGTCTCTTCCTTCCGCAGCCCCTTTCCAACATTTTCCTTTATTCAGAAAAATAGACATTATAAAATGAATTATAATAAATATGAATGGAACAAGCACACACACAATAGGGCATGTGTAGGGAAAAGCACTGAGGACCAAATTTAAATTATTCAGTAAGTTGTACAAGAGCACAGGAAAGGAAATTTAATGCCTTCTAAATTACTGTGCTTCCAACAGTATTTAACTACAACCTTACATTCCCCTTTTTAAATGTTTAATTGAATGCTAATGGGGTTCTCCAAATGATCTAAATTTGGTAGTTCCAAATGTCAAAAACTGTTGAGAGATCCATAAAAATTAAAGTGAAACCTAATGCTGTAAGTTGGTTGGATCATACTTGGATAGCTTCTATAAATACTGCACAAAATATTATCTCATGGTTTGCATAAACGATTACTCAACCTAATTTTCTGGATTTGCACATACTGAATGATAACCTAGCCATACTGGCAAAACTGCCACAGCATGCTAAGCTGAAAGATGGTTGGCTAGTTTATGATTCCGTGAACACAGCCATATCCTAACAAGACCAACCCCCCGCCCCAGTCTGTTATATGTGGAATATGCGTGTCAGTAATTTCTGCTTTCGCTGCTGATGGATTCTCCTCCCCATCCTCTAACCACTGAACCAACAAGAAAAAAATTGGGGCCACCTCCCACGCATTGACATGCAACCATTAAAGGCAAAGAGACAGCATCGTAAAGAGAATAATCGTTTTCTCCGCCGCTTCCCCTACTTCGTCTCTCTTCTGAAGAAACCTATTTTGGATGCAGAGCACGGTAAGCTTCGGCTCTGACCACTGAAAGCGGGATTAGCCCTGATAACGCTTCCCTATCAAGACTTGAAACAATCAAATCTAGCACCTCCGAAGGCCAAGACCCACCTCCCTCTCGGTACCACGGGTCCAAATTGTAACTGCACTTACCCTGTCAAATAGAGAGAGCGAGAGTCTAATGAAGGCAACCGCCAAAATCTCGTCTTACGCTCACCTGGGCCACTACTAACTCCCGGAAGCCTCTGAAAGACAATCGAAGTACGCTTGCGCCTCAATCCTTCAATGCTTAAAAAAAAAAAACTTCCAGAGTCAGAGGCTCAGTACGCATGCGTAGGCAAATAGACAATTTCAGTACTTAATACGCCTGCGCAAAATATTATACCGTCGAGATCCTTTAATTCTCGGTATTGAGCCGGTAACCTTCAGCGGACAATACATGGATGTTGGAACCAGTGAGCAAATAGTGGAGTTATAAGCGCTGAGGTCGACTTCAGTGATCAGTGCTGGTAATCTGCAAAGGCGCCAAGCATTTAGGGATGGTGGGAGCAGCTCTTGCGTGTGTGACTTTCTGTTGAACAAAAGTTTAACTGTTTGCGTGGCAAGAGACCTGCAGGTACAATTCAAGAGAAATAAAACACAAAAGGGAGAGGGGTGTTTGTGGAAGATGAGTGCTTATGTTCTGCGTCGTTACCTGGAAGTTATAAAACCTCCCTGTTTTATGTGGCCCCTACTAAGCACTGACATATATACATGGATAGCCAACGTGCGATTCTTTTTCCGGGTGAGCAAATCGCAAAAAAGGAGTAACAAATACTTACACAGAGAAATTACAAGGTATGAAATATGAAAAGGCAATATGTCTAAAACTAGTTTTACCTGTTCATACCTTTCTACCTTTACAAACCATCATTATCTCCACCATACACATATGCAGATTCCTATATTAGCTTTTAAACATGTTTGAAACTTCCCACCACTCTCTTTTTGAGGATCTCACGGATTTCATGCAACAGTTATGTTCTCGAACTTCCCAATTCCCATTTTCTCATACATGTTTTGTGATTGGATCCTCGTTCATTTTCTCTGTACCATCAAACAACTCAGGGTTCTTTATGCTACTGATCACTAGCTTTTGGACTTCATTCAGCATTCATTTTCTTTGCTGTTTTTTTGGGAACATCCATTTTTTAAATCTGCAGACAAAAGAGTTAAGTGGAAAGAATGAGCAAATATGGGATTATAAAGACTTAAAAGATTGATTATTAGTGATCACAATACAGTATAAGCGTTCCAGTTACATTGGAAAAGCTAAACTGGTTTCAAATCATGCAAGTCAGAATCCTGCTAACAAAGCATCTCCCCTGATCAGATTGATCTGACTCCAAATATTTGAGATTCCCCAGCTCACCTTCAAAAAGCAAACTAACTCCATAATCAGCAAATATATATGTCTTCAGCGGATCATTCTTTGTCCTGAAATTTATTATAAATGGCATTTTAGAAGGATGATTGCTGGAATATCATTCCATAGCAAACTTTCAGCAGTTGAGGGTTGACCCTGGGACTGAGTACAGTATTGTGAATATTGACAGAAAATGATCAAGAGACACTGGTTCTTCCCCTTCTTTTTTGTGTTCATAGTTTACCTTGGTCACCACCTGTTGTTTTTTTTCCTAATTCCACATTGTTCCAAACTGCAACAGTATCAGAAATAAAACTCTTATTTCTCCGCACTTTGTTCAAAGCCAAAGAAATAGGCTTTAGGGTAGGTATCAGATGCTCAATATTTCTTTTTAGTCCCATATTGGGAAATTTGTTCCTGAAAGTTCTATTCATTTCTTCATTGCTTTATTCACAAATTGCTATCAGAGTGGGCCAGTTCTTGATACAGAAGTTCAAACAGAGTTCTATTAGGCATTCTGCGGAAGAGTTAATTTGGTTCTCCTTTGAGGACAGTTGCTGCAAGATGATTATTGTGAAAATATCCTGCAAGTCTACATTGGCCTTTGTTTCTGCAGCACAGAAATCTTTTGTTAGGAGATGTATTAAATAAGCAACCATATGTTACTCTTGGAAGGTGTTTATTTTCTTCTAATTTTCTTATCTTTAAAACATTTGTAGCATTAGCCATCACAAAGCTACAGTATATACTAGGCATTTGAAATCTTTTGACAGTTTTTTTTTTATGGATTTGACTGCTACATCTTGTGAATATTTATCATGGTTCATTTCCTAATGCATCATTTGTTTTGGTAAAGAAGATGCTTTTTACTCTATTGATTTACAGGCACATATGATGGAATTATTGTGGAAACTGCCCTGCCTATCAAAACTCAGGGTAACCATTTTTCCCTCATTTGCACACTTATTCACTTCTTTCTTTTACACTTTATCTAATAAAGTTGGTGCGATATCTTTTCTTTAGATGAATTGTATCATTGTCAAAGTGCCAAGAAGTTATGTGTTTTCCACAATGAACGTTTGTTGCAAAAGCCAACTGAGGAATTTTTTTCATAGTTACTTCTTGCTGTAATTTAATGGCTTTTATGAAATATTTTCTATGCCTGTTGCTGTACTGGGGAGTTCCTTCCTTCTTTTATGAGTAATATATTAATATATTAAGTGTATCTGAAAATTGTCATATGTGATGTGGCTGTCAATTTAACTCTAATGTAAAAGCAGTACAAGTGGAGAGTCATCAAAATTTTAAGGACTGATCTACCTAAACAAAAGAGGTAAATATAATTAGTGTAGTGACTGCTTCTTTAGTATTATTTCATGTAGTGAATAATGGCTCTCCATGTAAGAATCCCCTTGTATCTCTCTGGTTTAGTTAAGCCTTTTGCTGAACAGTTATTGGACACACTTAGAGTTTGAAATATACTGTTAAACCCATAAGCAATATAAGTGTTTGTTGGGTCTTAACTGAATAATATTAATCTTTAAACCATTATCTGAGACAAAATATATATTCTTCTGCTTTATACAACAAGCTTTTATTGCAATCAAAAATCAGCTACACCCAAAATAGTAAGACAAGTAAAGTAAAATTAATAACATATGTTCAGACTATTTGTCATTTTGTGCTAGCTGTTGCCATATGTTACCCAAAATAGTAAGACAAGTAAAGTAAAATTAATAACATATGTTCAGACTATTTGTCATTTTGTGCTAGCTGTTGCCATATGTTACCCAAAATAGTAAGACAAGTAAAGTAAAATTAATAACATATGTTCAGACTATTTGTCATTTTGTGCTAGCTGTTGCCATATGTTCAATGTAACCACACAAAATCTGGCTATAGTATTTTAAAAAATTGTTTATTCCTTTATTATTTTTATAAATAACTTAAGGTGGTGAAGATACCTAATACTCCTTCCTCCTCCTGCTTTCCCCACAACAACAATCCTGTGAGGTGATTTGGGCTGAGAGAGTGTGACTGGCCCAAATTGGTAATAAGATGGTTGGATTCTAAAAGTAGAAGGTTGGTATAATATTCATCTTCTTAGGAAAAATTGTAAGCTTTCTTATATAACAATAAGTGTACGTCAAATGGTTACAAAATTAATTTAGTGTTGCACAGCATTCACCCAGTCACATCACTAACACTGTCCAAAAGTCTTGTAAAATAATAACTGAATGCTGTTCAGGTAAAAAGAAACTGGGCTGTTTACTCTAACTGAAGTGGTTCCAGCATGCATTCCGTTTTTATATTCTTCCTAGTTTTATTTTTTATGAGGAGATAGCACCATCTTTATCCCAAATCATAAAATACTCTTGTGTCCAATATCTTTATCAATAGATATATTTTTTGAGAGAGAATTACATATGTAAAATTATACCCCTAATATCTGGGATCTCTTTGTGAGGGCTTCTTTAATGTCTTTTTGGTCACTTTCTGGAGGTTTCCTTGCTTAATGAAGGAATGTAAGAACTTAACACCCCTCCCTTTATCGTCCAGTCTGCATCTGAGTTCCTCTGATATGGTGTTATTAGGGACCAGGATAAAGTTAGGTAAAGAATGTTTCTTTCAAATCAGATTGCCATTCCCTCCCCATCTACCCCCACAATCTTTTTTTCCCATGGGGCAGCTGCTTTTTTTCTTGTAAATTTTCTTTATCTTATTCATAGATGCACTCATCCAAATTAAATTGGGCAGATGATGCTTTCTCTGTCACATCCTATCCTACCATACCTTTACAGTAAAAGAGATGGTATTACAACTAATGAAAGTCTGTTACTGAAATTGCATTCAGGCAAATGTAATACAAAGTCAAATAAAACTGTTTTCCTTATCCTAGGATTATTCCTAGGATTACAGCAACCAGTCAGAAAAAATATAAAATGCATGATCACAAAATGTAACAGGAATATGCATACAAAGAAGCATTTCAGCAAGCATAAGGGAATTCAGTAAATGAAATATGTAAACACTTACAAATTATTAATTTATGTCCATCAGATAGGTAATCAGTTACAAAAATCCATAACATTCTGAATTTATATAATTCCACTTACATAGATATTGATCCTTCACAGGGATTGAATTCTATATGATTTTATGTATGAAATGCATAGCTGTCATCAAGAAATGTAGCAGCTTTTGGAATAATCAGCTTTTGGCAGTTGTTCCAATTTTGTCAAAAATTAAAGTTTCTAGTCACAATGATCAACAGTCTCAGGATATGAACTAGAAAGGAAATATATTTGTGTAACATTCAAAAGTGATCTTATCCATCTAATAAGGACACACTGTAACATCAAAAAAGCTAGTGTCACTCATATCTGTAAAGGAATGTAGAGATGACCTTGGAATGAAGGAACCGTTAAAGGAGGTTGAATGGCAGCTCAGTCCTGGGACAGTGGAAAGCTTGAGAAAAAAACTCAAAATAACCCTGTCTTGGATTTGACTGACAGAGAGAAACTCTGACAGACTTTCAAGACTGATATTATACCCCATAACAATAAAGTAGCATTCCTGAAATCCGGCCTGCCTTGAAGGGCTGAGAGTTCCTAAAGAAAATAGTTATTCTGCACAAAATAAATACCAATTATACAGGAAAATATATAGAAGGAATATACATTCAATTATATTCCTTACCAAAAAATCCTATAGTATTTTGATTATGTACCATCAAGTCAGTACAGGTAATCCTTGGGTTACAGCGGCAATTGGAACTGGAATTTCCATCGCTAAGCAATGCAGTTGTAAAGCACAACATCATGTGACCACACCACTTAGTGACGGCAACTAATTCCAGCAA